TTTTTTTTTTTTTTTTTTGTTTTTTTTTTTTCTTTTTTTTTTCTTTTTTTAACTTTAGAGGGCGCTGGGCAGTGCCGAGTGAGGCCCCAGGGCGAGATAGGAAAGTATGCGACATTCAGTGGTTAAATCAGCACTTTGCACGTGTTTGCCCTACGACAGAACTTGAAGGAGGCTAAGTGTCCAAGTCGATGGGTTTCCAAGCCTCCGGAGGGTTTTCACGGTTGCTTTCAAGTAGTGCCAATGGGCTGAAATGTCCATCCTTTATCAGAGAAAACGTTGGCTTTGCCCTGTGCTGTTGGCAGAGGAATTTGTTGGAAGGGACTGTGGTCTTACCTCTATGTGGGTTATGTGTTCCCAGGCTTTGGAGCGTGGTGGGTGCGCCCCGGGGACCCTGGTGTGGCCAGTTTGAAGGTGTGAGTTTGCTGTGCCGGATTAAAACGTCAGCAAGTGGCAGCAGGACGTACCAGATATATTGCAGCCTTTTGCAATCACAGCTTGTCTGCACATAGTGGTTTTGTATTTATTTATTTATTTATTATAAGGAATAAAAAGACCTGCTTTGTACATAGGGTTGAAAGGTATTTGGAGTGTTGACATCTAAGACTGAGGAAACTTCACATGCATAGCGGGGCTCAGGAACCATGAGGCAGGGGTCTGTGAGACGTGGGGCTGTAGAGCCAGTAGTTGACTCCAGCCAAAAATTTTTTTCGTGTTAGGAAGTTGGGGGTGAAAGCCAGGCCATCAAACCCAGTGGGAAGTTTTCTGTAGGAATAAATAACAGGGGGGCTTCACCCTGACCCTCACTTTTAGGACTCTCTCTGGCTAGCTGTGGTTTCAGTATCACACTCATCACCGTGGTACCTGAGCACCTTTCAGCAGGTACAGGGAGTGCTCAGCTCCTCCAAGACTGATGTCAGTTATTTATGCACATTCATAGGGATTTGGGAGGTCTGACATTAAACATCAAAGCTGGGGTCCACGTTTGCAGTGTGCTTTATCACCCAATGCCTACAGGAGGCCTCCTGCCTCTTGCACTCTAGGGGCTTTCAGCGCCTAATTTAACAGCAAATTTATCTCATTTTTTTTCAAACCAGATGTACTAGTCACCTTTAAAATCACATGCATTTTGCTGCCATAATTCTACATTATAGATTGAATTCTTCCCACTTTCCCATATGGTTCTGCTCAACATATGCTGGCACAATTACAGAGATCAGTATGTCCTGAGTTTAAGTTATTATTTCAGCCTTTTCCTTTTTTTTTTTTTTTTCCTTTTTTTTTTTCCTCCCTAATACTAGCAGTTCAAGTAAGGACAAAGGCAAGCATGGATGCTGACACCAGGCAAGCATTTCAAACTGCAAAAGGGACAAGGAAGCCTGCAGGGCAATTAAAAAGGCGGCTCAAGCTGCAGGCAGGGAGCATGAGGCTTGCGCGGTTGACACTGACTGGTTGTGTCAGGCATCACTGCTCACCTGCCTTCACAGGCTGCTTCCTTGCTCCGCGGCGCTGCAGGTGATGGATATCCGTGGTGCTCTGCATCTATCCGCTTCAAAGGACTGATCTTACTGCCCTGCGCCTTTCAGCAATATTGTTTTTGTTGCTGTTTTTTACATGAAATACATTAATTTTGGCAGAAAGCACTAAAAATAGTAACTTTTGATACCATTTCAATACTTTACCTTAGGTGGCAATATGTCTGTTGAGCCTTTTTAAAATTGACAGTAGTTGAGCTTAAGGCCGGAAGGACCACTCATTTTTTTTTTTTTTCTGATCTGACCTCTTCTGACTAGTTTGGCCAACTTTTAAATCAAATATATGACAGATATCTATTGCTTAATGTATTATTCAAGACACTTTGATATTATAGCAATAGATGTTGACTAAAATGACGTTGAGATTGGGCTACTGTTTACCTATTAATTTAATCAAATCTCAACTTTTAAATGTATAAGAACAAACCATAATCTGTTCTTTTTTTCTTTTCTTACCAGATGTTCATCCTGGTTAACACTTTTTCTTTCTCTAGGACTAGCTTCTGAGACTTGAGATTTCCAGACTGAAAACTTTTCTGATTTTCTCTGCAAAAGCAGTCACAAGCCACAGCTGAGAGAAGCTAAATGGTGGTTGACTTTTTTGTCAATTCAAACTTATGAGTAATTTTGATAGTTCAGATTCAAGCCAACCTCTTTTGTGTAAATATCTTCCAAGATCTTAAATACTTAGTCAGTTTGGTGTTTTAGATCAACTGAAACAGATGATGTCCAGATTTGCCCAAAGTATTCATGGCTAGGCTTCGTGAAAGAAGATATGGGAAGGGCTTTACCCGCATTTGCTATGAGTGTGCTGATGACTAGAAAGTATCCAGATTAAACTGTATTTATTCTTTAATCAATTTTTAGCTATAAGATATATATGTGTGTGTGTATTTTCATCTGAATCTGTGACTGATTGAAATTGTACTGAAGCAAATTGCAAGCCTTCTACTTCTGGGAATGTCAGCTCTTTACAAGGACTCCATTTTGCCTTGGAGATTGACCTCCATGTTATTTAACAATCATCTCCACTGTGCCTGGCAGTGGGTATTTTCTAATGGAGGCTTGTTGCCTAGCTGAATATTATAATGTTGGACTGGCCACTTTCTGAAGGGTCCTATCTGTCTACCTCCTATCACTAGCCTGACCACAGCAATAGTCAGCTCCCTCAGAAAAGATGGACAAGAAAGGGAAACTATGGATTTCCCTAATCTTTGCTAAAGAATCACATTCGCAAAAGCATCACAGACAGTTTATGGTGCAAAAACTTAAAATTATTGAATAATAAGAAAACATATCAGAGAAGGGAAGTGGAAGGGACTATATAACACAAGAGTGCTGTTGAAGTCCAGAATTTCAAAAGAGCGAAAAGTATTACTTTCAAGGGATGCTAGCTCTCTAGTATTATTTATAAATGAAGCCCTGCAACATGGTTTCACAATGAGACACGAGACATGGTAAGTGTTGATGATCACTTGAGTCCTCCTGATTGGAAAGCCAGTGCTCATGCAGAGGTGACAGCAGAGGGTACAATGGGAAGAGTGAGCCAAAGGGACCTGCGAGGTGTTGGAGGTGAAAGCAAGAATTAAGAGCTGCCTAATTCCCAGGCCTTTAAAACAGGACAGATTTGGCAAATTCATCTACTTGCAATAGTCTCATGTTCACTGAGAGGGTCTAAGTAGGAGAAGCTGCTTTAACTTCTCATTGCCACGAAGCTCCTTTCAACCTGTAGTACAACCACAGCCAATGGGTTGCTGTAGTCTTTAACTAATTCATTTCATGATTACCTGCCTGTGCACTTTCCTCTTAAGATAAATCTATGCTCACAGGCATGGATTTTATAAGATAAGTAGATGAGTAACACTATATCTTGCACCTGATTGTTTAATGTTTCATCTGTTTGTGTCCTGGCCTGTGTTGCTTACACCTTAATAAAATGAGATTTTATGAGAGTTTAAAAGTCTTCTGGCTTCTTGGCCGAGGTCAGCATGGGTGAGCCCAGCGTTTTACTCGAGTCATGCTTACTTTCATTCCCTGAACGCCTGGCAGCCCTCCAGGAGCACCCTGCCCCACTTTGTCATGAATCAGTGTGTGCAGATGCTGAGCTCATCAATCCATAAGTTTGCTGAACATGGCTACGGTGCCCAGGCACAGCTGTCCCCTTGCTGGGTGTTTTCCAGCCTCGGAGCTCTGTTTCCCACATGACAACTCTGCCTGAGAGATTAGGTGTTCCTTCATGGTGAGACTTTGTTGAGGGACTGTAAAGCAAAATCCAAGTCTCTCTTCCTTTGGCATTGCCAGGTTATTGGTACAGTACTTAAAAGTGGAAACATCAGGTAGCTCTGCTGTGAGTATTCCTTTGGGAAGCGGAGAGTGTTTTTTTCCTCATCTGCTAGGAAGCCTGTGAGAAGTCTCTTCCCCTACAAAGCTGACAAGTGAGTAGCCACACAAGATTAGTGTGGGGGATGAGAAATATGGTTGAGATGCAGATCTATTCTTTGATTGTGTGGAGAGGCTACTGTGTCAACAAGCAACCTAAGAGGTGGTGCTTCACAGTGCACTGCAATGTGTTGTAGCAATCATAAAGTGATGGGTATTGAATGAATAGGAGGAAGGTAATGATCATCTATATTTTATAGAGCTATTTTTTTTTATGGGAGTTTAAGAGGCTTACAGGCCTTTTTGCAGCACTCATTACAGGTGATGATGGAGGCATATCCAGCTCTTCCAGGGCACCTTGCCATGCTGATGTATGAGCAGCAGCATGTGGGTACAGGCTGTGACATGCCCATGGAAGCGGTGAGCACAGCAGTGGTGTTCAAAGCATGGTTTCGATACCTTGCTGCTGGATGTTCACCAGCAAGTGCTGCTGAGCCCATAGTCTTGCAGAGTGGCTGCTGTACTAAAGGCTTGGGCTCCTGCACATCAGTCGCTGTGCTCTGTGTGGCCCGATAGAAAAAAGGAATGTATTTTTCTAAACAAAGGCCAAGAAAACTACTGTAATGCCTTCTTATCCTGAACAGAGCAGTGTGTGGCCACACAGGTTTGGAGCAAGGGGCTAGGATACATGTGGATGACAGTAAGAGTGTGGGTGTTGTTATTCTGAGGGCAAAGAAGGGCGAGGGGAGGCAGTAGTCATGACTTTGTGCCCTCCACGACATGGTGCTGGCAGAGAAGCACAAGCATCCGTGTTGCCCCACTTTGAGTTTGTAAGTTGCTGGTCTTTGCCCCGAGCAGACAAGACATGTGAGGAACCCCATGTCATTCTCCTCCTCTCTGCCACAGCGCAAGGTTTTCTCAGGCATGGTTCCTCAGGGGC